ATTGCAAGAGCACCTCTTCTGAACATGATCTTTGTGCTCTGACAAAATTGGAATCTCTTTGGGAATGGGGGTTTGTGAATTCGTGTTGGGGCAGGGTGAAAAGCATTCTGTAATTGAGAAGAAGGTAGGGTGAGTTTGTGCACTAAGGACTTGTTCTGTCATAAGAAATGGATACTCAGAAAAGAGAAGATGAGACCCTGGTGTGGTTTCATCTGAAAAGGCACAAAGTTAAAACTCCAACGAAGATTAAATACATCCTCTTGATATTTATTTGCCTCACACACACACACAAACAGAAAAACTATTGTACCTGTGATAAGAATGATGGTAAAGTGAAATGAATTACATCAGCTTCCTGAGTAGCTGGGACTATAGGCATGCACCACCATGTCTAGCTAATTTTTGTATTTTTAGTAGAGACAGAGGTTCACATGTTGGCCAGGATAGTCTTGATCTCTTGACGTTGTGATCTGCTCGCCTTGGCCTTGCAAATTGCTGGGATTGCAGGTGTGAGCCACTGCACCTGGCCTTTGGATCTTCTTATTGTTATGAAATGGTGACCGTATCCAGCTGAAGAGCTCTGTGAGCATCATGGCACAATTATGGGGGGGGATGTGATGAAGTAACAGCTGCTAGTGTCCAACATTTAGCCTCTCGTTTCCATTCCCACCCACCCTGATCTCTGGCTATATTTAGTTGCTTTACACAATGTTACCTAGGCCAAAGTCTATTCTACAAAATTAAAGGAAGAGAGAGAATAGTGAGAGTCTTCATAGAAAGATCAGGCTCCTGAAAATCTGTTTTCCTTAGTTTCTCATGTTCCTTCTTGGTTAACATGTTTTCTCCTCCTTTGTACCTAGGATCATGGCTAAAACACAATCGTGAGTTTACTTTGTGAAAAAAGAAGTAGAACATTGAGCAAACATCTAGTGAATACAGTCAAGATGGTGAGTGAATTTGGAAAATTCCACTCGCAAAAAAATTACTTTCTCTATTCTGTAGCAGATTTCCTCTTGGCCTTAATTATCCACAGAGTTTTCCAATTTTTCTGATAGTCTTTACTGTTGCTGACATCACCTAAATAATTTATGTAATGGATTTAACTGGGTTCATTTGGGAACCCTTTATTCTAAGTGGCTTTCTTTTCATCAATCTATTTACTTATTCAGTAAGCATTGAACACTGTTTCAGCTATCTATTGCTGTGTAATACGCTACCCTAAAGCTAGTGACTACTTAATGAAACAATTTATTATTATCACTCACGATTCTTGGGACTGATGGACTCCAGTGGGCAGTTCTTGCTTGGAGTCTCTCATTTGGTTGTAGTCAGATTGTAGCTCAGATCGGAGCCATCTAAACGTTTCTTCACTCATGTGTCTGGCATTGGGCTAGTCAGAAATCTCTCTCTCCACATGGTTAGCAAAGCTTTTCAGTCTCTTGGCAATCAGGCTTCTTCTCTTGTGGCAGCCTTCCTCAAAGCAAGTGTTCTAAGAAATCCAGTTGGAAGCTGCAAAAATTTTTAAACGTAGCCTTGCAAGTCACACAGAGCCCTTCTTCCCTCTTGTGTATGCCAAAGCAATCGTGGGAGAACTCAGGATCCAGTAGTTGGACAAAGATTCCGTCTCACAAGAGGGGAATAGTTTGTGTATTCAAATAAGGAAAGAATTGATGTGTTCATCTTAATGAGAAGCTGCCACAAGCACCTACTGTGTGGCAGATGCTATGCTATGTAGTGGTACAACATGTTGACAAAATGGGCATAGTCCCATGTCCCTTGTGGACATTAAAATCCAGTTCGATTAGCTTTGACTCGACAGTTTTCCCAATCAACTGCTGAGCAGTACGTCTCAATATTAAGTCTATTTAGTTATGAAATGTGCAAAACATCTATTCTGATAATTTGTGGTCTGGTCATTTTGACTTTTTCAGTAACTAAACTGAATGAAATTTGTGGGTATCTGATCCATAACTTGTTGATCACCCTGATGAGCTGATTCATTCATGAATTCTTTTTTAACGCATTCTTTAAAACATCATCTGAGCAAAACTGGGGTGTTTATCTCTTGCTTCACAAGCATATTGAGTTCCTGCTGTGCACGGGGGCTGGAACTAAATTCCTTGACTTACAATAGGGACTATACAAGAAATGGAAAAGTCAGATTTTGCCCCAATGAGCTTTCATTCTTGTTAGCAGCTTGGGTGGTATGCAAGTGGAGCAACTTGTGACAATGACAAAAAAAAAAGGTGAACCCAGACCATGCATGATAAACTAGACAGGTGGTATTAGTTTCCCTCCTGAGAATTATCTTTTGAAGAAAAGTGATTGATTATTTGCCTCCATTTTCTTCTCTCTTGTGTTATGAACACAAAGTGATCTAGGTTTGTTAAGTAAAAGGAGATTTCAGGACAGGAATGTTGACAGAAGAATTGGTGGTGTTCAGCAAATCTCAGGTCTTATCGTTTCTGGCATAGTTTATGTCCCTTCAGTGGTACAGCTATGAGGGGCTGGGGGAGGAGGCTCATGATGTCACAAGAGATACCTTGACATTTCAGAAACAAAGGTCAAAGCTTGAACAGGTCCAAGAGCATGCAGAATTCTTGTGCACACATGTCAAGTTCCCCGACATGAGGTTAGTACTACGTTGTGCCTTCTTATGTTGTATCTTTATATCTGTTGTCCTACATAGCATACAAGGACATTACACGATATTTCAAGTAAAACAGCAACAACAATATGAATGTTGCCTTACCTACCTGGATGTTTCAAGCAAAACTAAAATTTGGCTTGTCATACCAGTTGTCATTTATCAATCTATTAACTTTAATTTCATAGCTCATACTTTATCCATGTGGGTCCTTTTCTCATGTTAGTGAGACCTGTGTCCCCAGGGTGTAATTTGCTAAATTAAACTGCTTTCCATTTATCATGCCAGTTTATTTTTCTGAAATGCTTGCCCCCATTTTTCTCTGGCAATTTATAATAATCAGATTTTAATTGTATCCCGCTCCTCTTTCTGCCAGCACATACTTGTTTGGTATATTTTATGTTATATTATTTTATGCCTGCTGGTATATCACTTTGTAATTTTTTGTGGGCACATGATTTGCCCAACTGGATGGTAAACTGAATGGCAGGAGCTTCTCTATACAGACGGATTTACATGTATGTGTTTACATATGTATGTGTATGTGTAGTATATGTACCCATACATACATACACAGGAGATACTTCTCAACAGCTGATCAGCTCTTTCCACTCTCCACTTAATTTTCTCTTTTTTTTGAGACAGAGTTTTGCTCTTATTGCCCAGGCTGGAGCGCAGTGGTATGATCTGGGCTTGCCACATCCTCCACCTCCCGGGTTCAAGCGATTTTCCTGTCTCAACCTCCCAAGTAGCTGGGATTATAGGCATGTGTCACCACGCCTAGCTAATTTTGTATTTTTAGTAGAGACGGGGTTTCTCCTTGTTGGTCAGGCTGGTCTTGAACTCCCAACTTCAGGCGATCTGCCTATTTCGGCTTCCCAAAGTGCTGGGAATGCAGGCGTAAGCCACTGTGCCCAGCCCTCTTTTTGTTTTTATAAGTTAGAGTCAAATAGACTATTTTGCAGCTTACCTGGTGAATTGGATCAATGCATATGTTTGATGGATTATTCAGACATTTAAAAAAACTCTTCAACTTCGTGTTTACTAAGATGAAAATAATCTAGAGTATTGCTCATCTTTTCCTCTGGCAAAATTATTTTCATAACTTCATAAAAAATGTAAGTACTTGAGCTATGCAAGCACTTGTGATTGATTATTTGGGGCAAAAATGATTTTTTAATTGAATTAATGATAGTCTTAAATTCCTCAACTTGAAGCTACAAAGCCTTTGAATTTCCATATTGACCTTGTGAGAGTTTATCCAGGCTTGTTTTTATTGGCGGTGAGGGAGCCACACTGTGTATCTTGAAAGACTTAAATCCTTCTTTTATAATATCTATCAGTATCCCTCTCCACTTCTGACTCCTTAAATGAATACAAATTTAAGTAGAAACTTGGAGTTGATCTCAGGAAAATTTCCTACCCAACAAGTTAACCTTACTGTCTCCTTTTCTAACCAATTTGCTGTTCTCAAAACCTTTTTATTTACTAAGTTTGCTGCTGCCACTGTATATGCAGGTTTGTACATTGGGGAGGAGCTCCCCGGCTTGTTTGAGATCAGGGCCACCAGAAAACATTTTGAGTCCTCCAAATATCGTGAATTGTTTTGGCATCCCTGACATTACAAGAAAACAAAATAAAGTTTTCTTCTCATAACTAGACATATACTTAAAATGCAGATACTGCTGGAAGCCTCACTATAATGATGGGTCCTTATTCACAGAAGATGATAGTGACTGATAATAGATATATTTTCTTGAAAATAGATTTCGATCAGGCCAAAGTGGTGATTGAATTTGGGAGAATGACAGCTCATTGCATTTCTTAAAGCCGTGGGCTCAGATTTAGGGTATCCATACCTCATGAAGATTCCAAAATGATCCATTGGTGTGCAGAAAGAAGATATTGGAGTTCTATTTATTTCAATATTTTATTTCATCTTAAATTTAGATTTTTTTGGCACATGTGTTTTTGTTGCATAGAATAGAGTAATACATATGTTATTTATAAATAAAAATACATAGAATGGAGATGTTCCTAAATTTTTACCATATGTGATCTAAAAATTTAGAAACCACTGCTTTCCAAAGGTGAATCGAACATGAATAAGGTCCTCGAACATGATGCGATGGGGAGGAACGGGAAATGATTACGGAACAAGTGTTTGTAATCTCGGAATTCTGACTCTGGTTACTACTAGTTCCAGTTATTTGATCAATAGGGAGTTCACTAACTCTTAATCTGACGCCAGGACAGTCCCTTTTAAGATGTGAAGAAATTGCTCAATGTTAGGATGTTGACTGAAGAAAGTAGATTTTAATCATGCTTTGTTTTTTCATTTTGTTTTCTCAAGGGTCCCATGGGAACAGAAAGTTTTGAGGGAGTTTACTGTTTGTGCAAGATGACTGGTTGGGTAAAGAAGTCCAAAGTTTTTTTATCTGCAGAACAAATAAAGCCTGGGCAAAGGTAACTGAAATGAACGTCTCCCACCTTGTCCCTTTTGCATGTCTAAGGTGATGTTTGTGCCGATGGTTGCGCAACGGAGAACCTAATCTATGCGTGTCAAATGGAGAGGAGGTGCATGTTAGAGTCCTCCTGATTAAAAAGAGTCAGTGACCTTCATTCTTCTTAGTTTGACAGGTAATTGTTTGATGACGATGCCTATATAAAAATTATTTTAAAAATGAAATTTCTATTTGTTGATGAATTATTCCTAAATGCCAAGGTATTATTTGTCAGACAACCTCTGGGTGGCTGAATTAGAGTTTTTCCTTCTCCAAAGATAGACACACACAGCTCTAAGGAGGTGTTAAAATAAATTTATGAATTTATGATTACTCTGGACATTTGTTGTTGCTGGTTAATGACAACAAGGACAACTGGATTGTCCTTATGATTATTCCACAGCAGTTACTAAAAAAAATTCTGAATAAACAAACATTCTGAAAATGTGAATCACAGTGTGGGGCTCAACTTGTGTTTTAAAAGATAATTTTCTTTTTTCTTTTTCTTTTTTTTTTTTGAGATGGAGGCTCGCTCTGTAGCCCAGGCTGGAGTGCAGTGGCGCGATCTCGGCTCACCGTAACCTCCACCATCCGGGTCCTGGTTCAAGCAAGTCTCCTACCTCAGCCTCCCAAGTAGCTGGGATTACGGCACGAGCCACCACACCCAGCTAATTTTTGTATTTTTTAGTAGAGACAAGGTTTCACCATGTTGGCCAGTCTGGTCTTGAACTCCTGACCTTGTGATCCACCCGCCTCAGCCTCCCAAAGTGCTAGGATTACAGGTGTGAGCCACTGCACCCGGCCTGAAAAATAACTTTCTATGCATAAATATTGATGAGAGTGAGATATGACCGAATTGTTGAGGTTAAGCATTTATTATGGGGAAAAAAATTAAAATGCTTTGGAGCTCAGTGATCCGCACTGACGAGATAGTTACTTAACCATTCTTTTCATTTTGACTCTTTGTTACTGTTGATTCTGTTGGAACTTAGGTTTATAAGGCCAGTTAAAGGGGCATCTTATAGGGGATAGTCATAAAGTATGATAACGAATGAGCTAGCAGCCAACTATGGATAGAAACTAGGTAAATTAGAAAGCTGATTTCTCATTCTTAAATTAGTTGCTATTGAGTTTTACAAACAATCCCTAAGACATTTATCATCCAATAATTTTTCCTCAAAGAAATATCTAAGAAAGGGTATAGACATTAAGAACAGAGTGGTGAAAGTGAGACCCTCTGCCTGTTTTGGATATTTGAAAAAATCCTAATTGGACTGAAATTGTAAGGTGGGAAATCCATAGGGAATTATCTTTGTGTATGTGAATATGTATGGATATATGTATAATATAGAACAGGCGTCCCCAAGCCCTGGTCTGTGACCCAGTAGGAACAGGGTCACATGGCAGAAGGTGAGTGACAGGCCAGCAAGTGAAGCTTCATCTATGCTGACAGCCGCTCCCATCACTAGCATCTCTGCCTGAGCTCCACCTCTGATCAGATCATTGGTGGCATTAGATTCTCATGGGATCTCAAACTCTATCATAAACTGTGTATGTGAGGGATCTAAGTTGCACGCTCCTTATGAGAACCTAATGCCTGATGATCCATCACTGTTTCCCATCATCTCCAGATGGGACCATCTAGTTACAGGAAAACAAGCTCAGGGCTCCCACTGATTCTACATTATGGTGAGTTGTAGAATTATTTCATTATCTATCACAATGTAGTAATAATAAACTGCATGTAAATGTAATGTGCTTGAATCATCCTGAAACCATCCCCAGTCCATGGAAAAATTGTCTTCTATGAAACCGGTCCCTGGTGCCAAACAGGTTGGGGATTGCTGGTATAGATAACAACTAAAACTAATGTCCAGATTATCTGAATAATCACAACATTTACTGGTATAATTGTTTAAAACTTAAAAGAAAACTGAAATTTTCCAGTATGGAAAAGACAAATTCCAGTTTCTAAGCTTAAGCCTGCCAAGACTCCGTGGCTTGGAATTTCATGTGTGACCAGCTATTTAAGTAGGAAAATTAATTGTAGTAAAAATTTAGGTAAATTATTTGGAAGCACTTCTACTACAGACTGTGAGACACTGAACCAACCTGTAAATGAGAGTGAACTCCTTCAAGGTCCAGGTAGATTATGATCTGAGATTACAATTTTGTAGTTTTTCCTGAAAAAAAAAAAAAAAAAAGTTTAGAGTTTCCATCATGCTCTAGGATTCTACCAGCCACACATCCAGAGTTTGAAATGTTGTGTGTGTAAATAATCTTCTCTGCCTTAAAAGGAGCTACTTTCTGAGGAAGGTTGTTGGCTGTGGAGAGATGTAAGTGTTGAGAGACAGAGTGAGCTGCTTGAGAAGAAATGGTAGAAGAGTCTGTGATTCAAAAATGGGCTTTGAAACCTCTAGACCCTGTTAGTCAGTTAATAGTAGTAAAAAGCAATGGTTATATACCTGGGACCACTAAGTCACTTGAGTTAAGAAGATTACAGAACAGAAGAAAAAAAGAGAGAGAGAAAGAGAGGAGAGAGACAGAGCCATAGCATGCATGAGGTATGCAGCTGTCGGGCTGCATGCTCCAGCGCCTGGATTTCCAATCTGGCACTCAGCTTGATGAGTCTGTTTATTCAGCTCCAGTATCAGACGTTCCCTTTTCCTGCCTGAAGAAGTCCCCTTTGAAGAACAGCTCTGCTGGGGAGCAGTTTCCCCTTGGATGGGCTACTCCTGTTTGCAGTCCTAAAGGAAAAGAACTGGAAATGCCACAAGAATGTTCTTTAAAGTGATATTCCAGCGCCACGTGAGGGGAGGATGAAATAGCTGTAAAAGATGTATTTCCTGGTTGAGGTATTTTTTTCCCCTCTCAAGTGAATTTAGCGCTGAACAAAGGCGTCACATGAATGCAATTGGGGTCATATGTTCTTGGGTACCTCCAGATCTGTGAGGGCAGGTGGTGGCTGGGGTGGGAGAGTACTGGGCAGAGCAACAACACTTCAGTTTCTGTAGGCCTGGAGAGAGAGAGAGAGAGAGACAGAGAGAGAGAGAGAGAGAGAGAGAGACAGCGCGCATGCCAGAGAGAGATACAGAGAATTCCAGTAACCTAGTCTTGCATGTCTTTATCTGTAAAGGAATCAGTCGTGATGACTTATCAGAGGACCAATCTATACTTTCAAAGCAAAGCCACAATGAAACATTATCTAGAGAATTGAGGGACAATGTTCATAATCAAATTGGGTAATTCTAAGGTTGACAATTGTACTTTGGGTTTGATATTAATTTCTTATATTTCAGGGACATGTTTTACTTTTTCAAAAAGGTTTTTCATCTTGTGAAGTAGCTGGAGTAGATGCTAATCACCTGAATTTTCCTCTTTGGGAAAGGATGTGGCTAAATTAAGAGAGATGGTTATTGGTAGGGCAGAACAGCAATCCAGGCCTCTTGTCTCTTGGACCAGGTCTCCTTTCTCTGTGTTCTTGAGACCTGTACAAAGGGACAGTGGGAGTTTCAGAAAAAAGGAAGATGACATTCTCTGTCTCCTCCCAGGCATGCAGAAAGTTACTGTGACTTTGAAACCACAGCTTTGCTGTGCCCAAATGCTCTCTCGGGGACTAGTCTTAGGGAGAAGTTTCAAAGTGGAGCCTTCAGAGAGTGAGTCTCATGTTCTCACTGTGGCTGCTCAGGCCTGTGGTTGGTTTGTTCAGTTTGCACCTAGGCCTCAGAAAACAGGAGTTCTCCAGAATGAAAAGAGTTCTTTGTTCAATATCAAAGATGAACCTTTTGAGTGAGAGAGATGCCACTTCATGATGAGGCCTGGTTTTCCAGGAGAGAAGATGGGATCCACACTCTATTCCTGATTCCTGGCTGAGACTTCTAGGACTCACATTGACTCTTGAGGCCTAGGAGTGAGGTTCATGCATAAGGGACCAGAAAGCACTGACAGTGTGAACTTTATCCAGGAGTGAGAGTGAACCAGAATTTCCTTTGGGGCTAGGTTCTGGTTCAAGGGGGAAACTGGAAGAGATGTTACCCATTGGCTGCTTTTTCTGCTTTGACACACAGACCCTTATATTTTATCTATTTCTGGATATTTGTCGTCTCTCTACAAGTAAAGCCAGACTTGCTTGACGTTTGAGCAATATCTTGCAGTTATTTGTATCCTCTAAGGCTTCCTAGTACTTAAACTCTCTGATGAATGAATAGGAATCCATTTTCAGCCAATCTCTTATCCCAGCGTCTCTCAGCCTATAGCGGGAACAGGCATCACCTGGGAAACAGGCATGTGCGCTTTGAAATGAAACTTGAGATGAATCTCATATGCACTGAAGTTAGAGAACTGCTGTTTTATCCTTTTCTCCCTTGGCTTTAAGAACTCATTGTGACTTTGCATAATACTATAAGCGCAAACAGAATCCCAGGTTCGTGTAATGTTTTATGACTTGGGAGGCTTATTTCACATGTTTGTCTAATTTAATCCTGATTTAATGGGGCTAATTTAATAACAGGCCTGTGATGTGAGTTCTTTTTCCACCATTGTACAGAGGCAGAGGCAGAGGAGTGATACTCTTTGGAACATGTCTGTGGCAGTATGTGCCAATGTGTGGGCAGAGCCCCTACTCATCCCACCTTCTGAGTCCGGGGATGGTGTTCTTTCCCTCACAACCCCTGTGGCTCTATAGCTCTTGCAGGCATAGCTGTTCTTTGTGTGAAGTGTTATTATACCTGATAGTGCTTCCTGTCCACATAGCTGTGGCTACTTACCATGATACATATGTGAAGTCAGCAGAAGCTAACACAGCCTGTATTCCTAATGAACTGTATAGTAGGATAAGTGGATAAGACTATGAATAAGGTGTTATTTTATGCAAATACTAGAGTACAACATTTTTGTTCCTTGTCAGATTGGAAACGCAGAACTGGGAAGTGGGGAGAGGTGAGAGTTCTTTCAGAGAAGGAC